CTTTTTTTTTTTTTTTTTTTTTTTTTTTTTGGAGACATCAGTCATTTAAAATACTCTCTTCCAAAAGCGTCATGCCGGCTGCCTGCCACTACTCCTTTTCGCTCAAAAACAATTAAGCACGTGGCTGAGCAAAAGTGACTATGTAAATACACTCTCCTGCGAACAACAACATGCTGTATCCGCACTTTTTTTTTTTTTTTTTGAGGGTGAAGTGGTTTATTTCACTTTCTTCGTGTATAAAATCGCCGTGTGGAGGGGAGCGGGAGAGCACAAAGCGGCCGCTCAGGCTGCCTTTGTTCGGGGAGGGGCTCTCGCCAGGTTCCCCCGAAGCCCGCTGGAAAGAGCTCCGTGGGATGTTGGACTGAGCCCTAAAGGAACAAGCAGCTCAGAAGTCCTGCATTTCTCATCTCGGAGGAAAATAAACTGTTGCTACACCACGTGTTTGCCTAAGAGGGATGACTCAAGCTGTGAGCTTTTTTTTTTTTTTTTTCCCTCTTCTCTTTAAAGGCAGGAGCATGTGTCACAGCAAAATCCACCAGAGGGGGGGAAGAGTGGGAGAAAGGAAAGGAGGAGAAAAACAATCTTTACGAACTGATGTTAAAAATAAATAAAATCCAGAGGATCCGGGAGAGGAGCTGGCAAAGAGAAACTCGCGACGGTTACACGAAATAGTAGCTGAGACAGCGAGACACGCAGCTTCGTAACGGCCGCCCCAAGCCCGCGGCGGGCGGGCAGCGCCGGGGCTGGTTTATCGGCACTTGGGTGCTCGCGGGGCTCTTTGTCCCGCCGTACACAACACTCCCCTTCTTTCTTCAGGCGCAGGAGCGGGTGTCTCATCCGGGAAGCAACAGGAGGAGTGAGAGTCAAGGGGTAGCTGTCAAATGCGCTCTCCCCACCCCCATGCTCGCCCCCTTTCTCCTTCCAGTTTAATGATCAAACGGCCGCCCGGGAGAAAGGCGAGGGAGCGCAAGGAAGGCACGGAGGGCGCTCTGTTGGAGTGCGTGCAGGAGTGAGTGAGTGAGTGAGTGAGTGAGTGAGTGAGTAAGGGTGCCCCCCGGCCCTCCCCTCCTGTCTGCCAGAGCCGCAGCGGCCCGGGAGGGGAGGAGAGACGGCAGCGGGGGAGGAGGCAGCGGCGGCAGCAGCAAGTGCTGGCGTAGCGCTCGGCTACTCTCTTACTCATCGCTGGAAGGTGGGGGGAGGGAGGACCGTGTGTACCTTTTTCCTCTCGTGCCTCTCCTCACTTTAACAAGCTGGGGCCAATCGCCGGCAGAAAGGAACAAAGGCAGAGGGGGAGGGAAGCGAAGCCCACCCTGGCCACAGCCGCCGCCGAAGCCCCCGGCTGGGCGG